GTGACCTCATACCAGTTATGTAACTTCTCTTGACTTCTGTTTCTTGTCTCTGTAGTGGAAATAAACCTCTAACTTGCTTTACTAAGAACTAGGAAGCTCAAAAGGTAGAAATTGGGTAGAAAATCTTTGAAAGGAAAACATAAATAAAAGAGATTATTTAAAAGTCCAGTGTCCTTCAGCAGAACCTGGTTGAAGTCACACCTTGGAAAGCCAAGGATGTGTCCCAGAATTTTTTCTGGAAGACCTGAGAGTGTGACACAAATATGCAATTGGGTGGCCTTCTCTAATCCTCAGGACCCCACCCTGAGCCTCCAATGGTTCTAACTTTGTTCTTGGAGTGTCCACAACAGTGTTCCGACAAACAACTCCCGGGGGTCGGCTGAGACCTAACACACACCAGTGTGCAGAGCCAGTTCTGAACTTGCCCAGAAGCAGAAGCACTGTGATGATGAGAGTCCACCTCCTCCTAAACATTTTTTTTCCTTGATGGAAGTCAGACCTCACTAGAGCATCCACTGATGAAGAGAATGTACTCTCTTGTTCTTCTGTGAGGCCCCAGGCCTTAACCCTGCATAGCTATTCCATTGGTATCCAGGGGAAGAGCCCTTCCAGTGTGCAACCTTCGGGAGGTCCCTCAGCGCCAACCCCTCCTGCCACATGCAGCTCAGGAAGTGTCAAGTATGCCAATAGCAGGACTTCTAGACAATGACCCCCACAAGCTGTGTGTCCATCCCCAGGGTCCTAAGGTTCACATATGATGTTAGTGCTATGCCCTGCGTAGCCCTGCTCTGCTCCATATTACAGCCTGTCTGGCCTCCCCTTGTGGACCATGAGAATTCAGAGGCCTGAGCCCATCCTGTTTCAGCACCGTGTTCCATACAGTGGGGAAGATTAGTGAATCTCTGCCTCTTACTTGTATTCCTTATGTGCAGGCCCTGATGTGGCCCTGTACCCTAGCTGCTTACAGGGGGCGCGGAGCTACAGTCAGCAAAGCAGGGGGTTCAGGGATCTCCCAGTTCATGGTAACGACTGTCACTAACCCTACCCAGCTCTTTAGTCTCTGAGCCCCAGCTCATGCCATGTCCCCTCAATCCAAGGTTTCCCTTCCCACTGAGGCTGTCTTTTGGAAAGCAGTGTGTCTTCCTGGTTTTCTTCAGCCTCTCTTTCCACCTGTTCTCAACTCTCTCCCCCCGCCCCATCATGCCTGTCCTTGTCCCCAGGGCATCTGTCCTGGTTTATTTGGAAAACTGCAGCCACCATAGCCCAACATCCCTACCACTTCCTCCTCCAGAAATAGACACTTCCTACTATCCTGTCTTGACACTGAAGCCAAGGTTTGCCAGTCACCAGGCTAACCTGGATGGAGTCTGGCCTCTGACAGAGGATCCAGAGAGCACCCCACAAATCGAGTGTTCTAACATTCAAAGCTAAAGAAAGACTGCTCAGCACTGTACTCGGCACCCCCTCACTCCTCCAGGTGCCTGCTTGCTTCTACACAGGTCCCCAGGGCCCCCCACACTTGTGGCAGAGTACCCTGATAATTGGTGCTGCCACCACCCCCTTCCTTCTCCCTGAGCCCTAGGGGACTTTACTGTACACCCTTGAGATGTTCCATTCACTCCTAGCAGCCAACCTGGGAAGGCGGCCCTGGCCTATGTTCCCACCACTGCGTGCTTTAGATTAGTGTGTGCAACTACCTCTACATGCAGCTCCCTGGAGCTCTGTCCTCCATGATGACAGCCTGCAGGGAAAGCACAGGAGGAGTGTGCTGGTGGTGATGGCTGGTGTGTTCAGCACTGCAGACTGCACTTCCCAGGATGTCTGAGAGTATTGCGAGGAAGGAAAGTCTGTTCTTAAGAATTTAGGATACATTTCTTTTTTATATTCTATTTTGCAACACATTAGGAGTGGTTTTTAGATATTGAAGTAATGTAGAGCTTCTCAGGTCACATATTCTTTCTTTATTTTTAAATTTTATTTTTATTTTATGAATATTAGTGTTTTGCCTCCGTGTATGTCTGTGTGAGGGACCTGGCACGGGTCTCCTGGAACTGGAGTTACAGACAGTTGTGAGCTGCTATGTGGGTACTAGGAATTAAGCCTGGGTCCTTTGAAGACCAATCAGTGCTCTTAACATTGGAGTCATCTCCAACGCCAGGATACAACGTTTTTTTGAAGAAGCTCATAGTTTGAGATTGTGGTAGTGTTGAGTGTGTGCAGGACACAGCATCTTTGGCTGTACTGTCAAGCGTCTCCAGAAGGAACCGGACATCCCACAGCATTTCCCAGACTTGTGTGACTGGAGAACCCAACTCCCCTTTGGGCAATGAATCTCCCAGGGCTAATTTGAGAGATACCCCCTTCCACTGAGATCACATAAGCTGGCAAGTGGCATGATTAGGCGTGCTTTTTACTTTTTATTTCTTTAGGTGCAGAAGATGGGTTGAGAGATGGAGAGGCTGGAGGTGGGGAAGGCTGCTAATAGTGGCAGCTGCTGGTACCCACAGGCAGGGATAATCAAGATCTCACTAAACCATCTAGGGTAGAGATGCTGTTGCCCATGGTGCTTACATGGGGACAGGGAACCCTCAAATGGTTATTTCACAGCAGAGAGTAACCACATGCCAAGCACTCTGCCATCAACAGGGATGGAAATAATGCAGGCCAAAGGTGACATGCAGTTGAGGACAGTGGGACAGACAAGATGGTTATGCAGCAGTAGAACTCCAAGCATGAAAGAAGCAGGGCAGGTGGCAGGGTTGGGACAGGACACCTCTTCTTCCTTAGGGTGACTTAGTAGCTCTGTCCTACATACTTCCTGTAAGCCATGAAGAGAAAGAAATATGGCAGCCATGCCCATCCTCTAGGCAACACCCCCAACTTCCAGCTAACAGCCAACTACCCAACTACCAGGCAGCTTAGCCCTCGTGCTCCGCTAATGATCTGGGAAGTCACAGTTCATTTCCACTCGTGCCTGCTCTCTGAGTGCTGCCTCCACCAGGATCCTCGGGGATGACTATGACATCGGCTGTGCTTTCCGGGGGTCAGATTCAGAGACCATGTCAAGTGAGGCCCAAGTCAGCACTGGCTGAGGAAACAAAAATGTAATGTGAGCCACACATTTGAATCAGATGGGGAATTCTGAGCAAGGCATGTGAAGAGCAAAAGGGAACAAGTGGAATTGATTTTAATAACATATTTTACCCAAAGTTCTAAAAATATTACCATTTATACATGAAATCAGTATAAAAATTAATAATGAGATATTTTACATTCTTTTCCTAAGTTACTAAAATCTAGTGTGTATTCACACTTCTGACACATCTTAGTTTGGGCCCAGTACATAGGGACATTGGCTCCTGTGCTGGCCATTGCCGCCACGGCCATTATCAAATGGTGGTGTATCTTTGTAAACTGAATGATTGAATGAGTGAGAACCAACTAGAAGCCTGCAGACCTTGCTGGGAGTCTGCAGTCTTAAACCTGTACAGATTTTTTTTTGTCCCTCTCTCTGCCTGCCCCTTTTCCTTCTTGTGTTGGGCTATCGAGAGGACAAAGTCTGTCATTAGAGATAAAGTTTCATGAGGAAAGCTGAGGAATTGGCCCTCTCTTGATCCACATCATAACCGCAAAAGGCAAGCATGTTCTTCAAGTTGTATTTGTTCACCAGACATTTACTGAGCAAGCTCCTCCCTCCCCAAATCCCATTCAACCTTCTGCAGGCACAGCAGTGGGTCCCTTCAAGGAACATTTGAAAAAATGAGAACATGGGGATAATGGACCAGGTACTTCACCATAACCAGTCACTTGTAGCAGAGGCCCTGGGCACTTACAGTCCTGGGAGACAGCATTTGACCTGCACAGGGCCTTGAAGGACAAGACCACATTTGCCAGGACAATCAATGTAGGAATAAGTCCCGCCCCTTAAGGGGGCGTGTTCGCCTCGGGCTAATGTTTACCTATAAATCTGGCGAGCATGCTCCCAGCTGTTGCTTCTGCTTTCCTGGTCGCCGCAGGAATGGTTGTTCTGTAAGTCTATTTCCCCATTAAAGCTGTATTTATTTTTACAATCTATCTGCATTCATTTATGCTGTTACATTTTGGCGCCCAACGTGGGCTTGAACTCACGACCCTGAGATTAAGAGTCTCATGCTCTACTGACTGAGCTAGCTGGGCTACGCGCTGGCAGATGGATGTGTTCCACTTTGCAGAATTTGGCAAATTAAAATATGTTCATCACACCATTGACACTTATTCAGGCTTTCAGTGGGCAACTGCTTTAAGTTCAGAAAAAGCTGATTCAATAATCACTCATTTATTCGAAGTCATGCCTATCATGGGTATACCTACACAAATAAAGACAGATAATGGTCCTGCTTATGTCTCTAGGAAAATGAAACGGGTTTTTTGATTATTACAATATCAAGCATGTTACAGGTATACCATACAATCCTACAAGTCAAGCAGTCACAGAAAGATCAAATCGAACTATAAAAGATATGTTGAACAAACAGAAAGGGGTGGAAAACATTTTGGGGAGGTCCACTCTTCGAAGGGCAGATAGGAAGTGAGGCATAAGAGCCCAGTGCCACTTGGGGGTTGTCTCAGGTTGGGCGAGTAAACTTTGGGAAAGATCTACATGGTGCTTCTAATAAAATCTAGGCATGCCAGCTTAGGACAGGAGTAGCCACTGATGGTTTCTAAAGTGAGTGTGATGTGGTGTGGTGTCATGCTGAAGTTTACAAAGTCCCCCTTGACCTGAGCAGAAAAAGAAGATCGGAGAAAGAGGTCTTGCTGAAAGGCAATTGTGATGATCTGTTCCAGGCCAGATAGGAGGCCAGCACTAACAAGCCAGCAGAGAGAGGACTAAGACATTGGGGTGAGGGAGCAGACTCCAGGCTCCAACGTGGGGACCTCAAGTCTTTCCCCCAGGCCATGTGTAGAGATGCATGGAGCCATCTCAATGTGAACTGATGTTTTAAGTTTCCACTTTAATGCAGCTACAAAGACTCCATCCCACTCGGCCACCGCCTCCCAAGATCCAGCGCTCAAGGCCCGTGAGTAGCCAGTGGTGTGCCCTCCCCTTCTAACACTGCCTAGCCCTCTCCCCTGGCCTCACTAAACCTAGAGAGTGTAGACTCTCCTGCCTGGCACAAGGAACCGGGAAATGGGTTTTTCAACTTCCCTTGCTGTGTGGCATGAGCTGGAATTTGCATTTTCTGGGCTTCTCTCTCCTTTTTCTGAATCAACTCAGTGACTTGCAGGCCATAGCCATGGATAGCCAGGCTGCTGTGTGAAGCTTCGCATCATTTAAGCGAATCTCCCGGGGAGAGCTGTATCTCTAGCCACTGGGCTCTAATGGCTCACTACAAATGCCTCTTCCTCACAGAGGAAGCCACAGTCTGACAGCAGGGATCTTATTCCCTCAGGTCTTGGTTGGGAAATGTTTGCTGTACCTTCCCGAGGGCTGAAAACATAGTACCCGGATAGATGGCTAGAAGCCCCTTCTAGGCTTCACAGGGAGAGGTACCTGCCTACAAAAGGTACTAAAGAAGGGTTGGAAAAGAGAACAACATACAGTCCTAACCAGCCAACCGCTGTGAACAGAGTAGGACATGGAGAAAGGCCCATGTGTTGTAGAGAGAAATGCCAAGGGCTGGAGACATGGTCCCTGACAGAGTGCTTGTCTAACATGAACAGAGCCTTGGTTTGACATCCAGCATCAGTGCTAAGCATCCATGTGCTTCTTTTCCCATGTACACAGACTGTAAACTCCTAGGACATAACTTTCTCAGTGTGAGAAACTTACTAGGATGGTTTGATGGGGGCTACTTCCCAAGGGAGGGGTTTCCAGTCTGTTATCCAAGGCAACCATGCCCAAGCATAGGGGTCAGTTATAGTCAGAGCACCTCAAAAACTAGTGTGCCAGCCTTTCCTGGTGTACTCCTCCAGGTCTGTCTTATGAAGGCACAAAGTCCATCCTCTGCAGGAACAAGGCTAAGCCAAGTGTCTGTTTGAATCCATGGTGTACACACCCAGCATCCATTGGGTAGCTACTATCTGGGTAGATGTCAGCTGTCCTGTGATTCTGTTTCTTCCTCTTCCCCACTGAGTGCAGATGTTAAAGGTTTGAGGTAGAGACGGGGGATGTAAGTTGGGAATCTACCATTCCAGCCTTGTGAGGTGATGGACCCATTCTGTGCCCCTATGAAAATGTAATTCACCCAAACCCCAGTTGGCACAACTGTCAAGGGGCTGGAATTTTCTACTCCCTGTCATCAGAAGGAAGGGACAAACATCAGTGACATGCTCTGAGGGACCGCAAGCACATCCAGGTTAAATCTTGTATAGTACAGCAAATGTTTCAGTACAAACCTTAGCAATAACGATTTGGGATTATCAGAACTGGGCCGGAATGCTAAGGATGTGTGTGTTTGGGCAAGTACTAAAGCTCTCCGACCTGCCCTGCTCTTTGAAACCAGGTCCTCATTCATAGTGATCTTCTGAAAAAATGAAATCAGGTGATATTTGGAGGGCATCTAGCACAGAACCAGACACACCGTAGCTGCTTTTACTCTTTCTAACAGGTTTTTTTTTAACCTTACCACTTTTAAATAATGACCCATTTTATTAAGAGCTATGCTTTGCCTAGGATTTTATAGCCACTAACCTGTTTTGGTGATCGCATCTCAACCAAGCATCACAGTAGCTCTGTGTACTAAACACTGTGGTTGCCCATTGTAGAGAAGATGTTTGGTAGCTGAACTATTACTACCAAGGATCACCAGACAGTAGAACTCAACAGTCCTCCTGGTGTCCCCAGTTCCCTATCCGTGAGGTCTCTGGGGCAGCATTGTTTTGGCAGAGATAAGAGCTGGGAACTCCTTTGAATGTGCGTTGGACTGAACTAGGTACTCCATATTGTTTCATCTGTCCTTGCTCCAGCCCATGGAAAGCAAATGTCATTTCCCTAGTGTGTAGCCAAGACCACAGAGATAGTAAGAAACCATGCTGGCCTTTGAGACCAGACCTCCCTCTCTAGTTCTTTACAGACAGCTTTTAGCAGCCATAGGGTACTGGTAGGGCGCTCAGAACAAACTTAGACACCTGGTCTTCTGGACAGCCAGAGGATCAAGGCATGGTAGCTCTTGGAGAAAAACTCAGTCCTGAAGACGGCGCTGATGGACCCTAGTCTTACCAGTGTGGGGACTTGGGTAGATTGTGGGGTGTCCACAACTTGAGGAAGCAAATATTGCCCCAGAAGAGGACTGGGTAGCAGCTGCCTCTGCTCCTAGCCAAGGCAAGAGATGACTGACTGGCCATGTTCTTGGGCCATGCAAGCAGAGCCACTGAGAAACAGATTAGAAGGCTAGAAGATATGTTGTACCCCAAAGTCCCCAGGCCACAGGGACTATTACTCATTCTGGATACACTGATGTCAGCATGTCCAGTGGATACCAATACACACCGAGTGGGAAGGAACTAGGGAGACCTGGGCCATAGAATTCCTAAGGGCCATAGAAATGACAGCCTGACATGGTTCCATGTCAGGATATGCCAGGTCACTTGGTTGTAAACATCCAGCTAAGCACACGGGGGATGGCCATTGTGGTAAGGCCATGCAGTGGCAGACACTCAGCTTTGACAACAGGGATCCTGTAGTTCAGCACCTGTGGCTGGAGCTCAGCTGTGACCAGAGGATCCACGGTTTCTTCTTAATAAGGGGGAGGAAAGAGCAAAAGAAAATCATACTGGCGTCTCCTAGATGAAGGACAGTGGCTGGAACCACCAGGGGAAGGCAGGCTGCTGTGGGCCCACATGTGAAGCACTTTATAAGCTCTCTATTTATTATTTCTTACTCACCATTAAAATCAAATGTACTCGGTGCTTTTGTATTCAGTACACACTTAACCCTGCCGACTTAGATTTCTCAGGTTTTGAATCCGGTGGGGAATTGGCTGGCTTCCCAACTTTCCCCTCCAGTCCTGGGAACAAATGCAAAGCCCTGTTCAGCATTCTCTCTTCTGGCATTGTTGAGATCCTAGCAATGGTGGGCCAGCCCCTGTTGTATATGAGAGCAGTTTTTCCCCTCCACCCAGCCTTCTCCCTTCCTAAGCACCCCAAAAGAGGGATTGTACTGCTGAAATACACTGGGATTGTTGCTGCATTGTCTTTTGATTCAGCTTTGATTAAACCAATTGTCTGTGTGTGTCTAGGCCTAGTTGTGACCTGCCACCACTGCACCGTGTGTGTGTGTGTGTGTGTGTGTGTGTGTGTGTGTGTGTGTGCGCGTGCGCGCGCGTGCACGGCACCAGCACATCTTGTGCATGTCTTTGTGAGACTACACACTGTAGTCCCCAGGCCTGGTCCATCTGAGTGTTTGTCTGTAATGATAATCCTACACCAGTGAGGTATGTGTGACTCTGGGTGGGTCTGTAACCACAGGGGTGACTGTCTCTGGTCCGTTGTGTCTTTCCCAGCCTCCCCTCGGCCCTTGCTCTTCTCCCTCCTCTGTCTGTTTTATCATCCCTAATGAAGCAGTCTCCTCCATCGATCCTGCTGATTGCCAACCCTTTCCTTTTGTTTGTTGGCGCTGAGCCATTCAACAGCACTCTGACAGCTCAGCTCCTCTAATTAGCTCTGTTGTTCTTTTTCCCCATGTTTCACCACGTTGCAAGTTCAGTTGAAGTTGCCACAAACTTAATCCCCCCATTTCAGTAGCAAGTTCGCATTCTTAACCTGTCTTCATTGTAGCAAGGAGCAGCCCTGTGCAGGACAAGCCAACAGACCATAATGTCTGACCTTTCTGAGCACAATCCCCAGGTCCTTACCAAAGGTAGAAGACCTCTTGCACACAGCTGCACACTCCTTCCCTGTAGGTATAGTCTCAGGGATCCAAGGGGGAAAAGCAGCTCCATATGAGAATGGAGGCAGGTACAGCCCTCCATTTATTCAGCAAATGTTGACCAAATGTCTGTTGGGTGGCAGGCACTATTCTAATAACAGTGATAACCACAGCAATAGTTATCACTGTTAGAGTCCAGATAGTAATGTTGCCGGTCTACAAATCCTGCTGAGGCTCCACTGTGTACCAGGCATCTCACAGGATGCCTGAAAGGATTAAGACTGTCTGCCGTCTGTCTTTATGCAGACATCTCCCTCCCTTCCTTTTGCTATTGATAATAGGGGGCATCTAGATCACAAAGAAGCAATGAGCATTCCTGGAGCCCCCGCTCTGTGCTATGTCCACACCAGCTGTTCCCCACACCCTGTGGTTGAGTCTTAACAATAGCCCCGTGGAAGAAGATGGCATGATTTGTGGAATGTTCTTGGCCTTTACCACATCTCTGATTTGCCAAATGAGGCTGAGCTCAGACTGGCCGCTCCACAGGAAAATCTTTGGTTCAGTCAGACGTGTGCAGACCTGAGGGCTCCTTGAGACTCTATCAAGACTAGTCTTGTATACAGCCAACTTCTGTAAACTTGTTCCTCACCCCTGTGCTGTCACCCACCAGTTGCCGCGGGCTGGGAAAGGGCAGTTGGTAACGGAGTGTGCTCTCTGCTTTCCGTCTTACCAGCAGAGCTCAGCTGGTGTGTCATTGCAGTTGCAGGAAATGCAAGTCTCCTGTGCCTGCTCTAATGTTGGCTTGTCTGCATGAGCAACCAGAACCACAGAGGGACATTCTCAGCTCTCTTCTCAAACCTCTTTGACACTGGAAGTGGTCAGAGGTGATGGTACCACACATTAAGCCACATAATGCTAATTGGACCAAATGAGACACCCAGTAATTCATGGCATAGCATCCATCACAGGCTCTAATGGGCCAGGGAAGGAGGCATCTCTTCTCTGAGACTTCATCCTGGTTTTCAGAGGTGGCAGTCCAGAATGACCCATCTATCCACAGTGTCTGCTGCCCTCGTGCACCGCCACTGCCACCCCAATCTGTGATTTGTGCAGCATCCAGTTGAGCCCTGCTAGAAGACAGACATGGGGTACCCAAAGAAGCAGGCTGGTTTAGCTGGGCACTCTTTGGAGCTGCCACTTGGCTTCCCCTCTCCCTTTAGAGAAGAAAGTAAGTACCCTTGTAATTTGGCTATAAAAGAGTACATTGAGTGTGTATATCCCAAAACAAACTTGCGTGGAACCTCTTTGTTCCACACACTGATAAGGGCTTTGTCATTCCATTCCATGTAGTTCACACCTCACTCAGCACTCTGAGAGGTCAGTGGGTCTGTGGATGAGGAGAGCCTTTTGGGTTAAATTCCAGGTAGCACATTCATATGCTGTATGTTAAATGGTGGTGTTTCCATGATAAGCAGGACTCTGAAAGCCCAGACCTGGATAACGTCTAACCAAGCCTCCTGGGGCTGCCTACCCAAATGTTCACAATAGACTTATAACTCACTCCTTTTTGGGGATTTCCCCATGCTCATCCTTAGGTACGGCCACCTCGTCCGCATGTTGTCAAGAGACCCAAGAGCAATATCACTGTGGAAGGCCGGAGGACATCTGTCTCAAGCCCTGAGCAGTGAGTACTGTTGCCACCTTCCTTCTGTCCTCAAGCAACCAACGAGCCACAGCTCTGTAGTGACCAAGCATGCAGCCCCAGCCTTCCTCTTGAAGACTCCTTAAACCCTGAGCAGGTGTTTCACAAGGAGACCAAGCAGGGGACAGGGCTTGGTTACTGGTGTCAGAGCCTGAGTCTCTGTTGTCACATTAGCAAGAGGCCCCCACAGCAAAGACTGTGCTTTGATTGGTGAAGCCCAAAGGCCACTCAGTCACACCCCAAAGGTCCTGGCCTCTCATATTAAAGATAGAGTTCACAGGTTGGTATAAGCTACCTTGCCAGAGAGGTTGCTTGCTTAGCAAGGCCACCATCTGTGGGTCTGGTGCTGTTCAAAGTCTGTCGCCTAAGTTTATACACAAGACATCCTTAGCCCTGGTCTCTCCTGAACCATTGGCAGCTGTGCTACAAAGACTTTGCATCAGTGTCCCCTCAGACCTGCAGTTCCTCACGGCACCCTAGGACCCAGCCAGCACCAGCTTCAGTTGTCATATCCTGCAGCTGCTGTGTAGATGCAGCGACTGAACCTGAAGGGTGGAAAGCTGCAGAACTGTTGGAGAAGGCAGCGCTGTCTCTCTGTCCCCGTGACTACTCATCAGCTTCCTGGGATATCTTTAGAATGTTCAGGAACTCTTCTTAGCCTAGGGTGGTTTGAGAGCAGAGGAAAAATAAAACTGTCCTTTGTGTGGAAGGGAGGAATGCTCCTTTTTACAAAGAACTGGCACAAAAATAGAAAAACAATTCCAAAATATCAGGCTGTGGTCTAGCCAAGGTGCACTTCAGTTCTCCCATGATCCTCTGCTGTATTATAAAACCAGCCTGAATGGTCTTTACCCAGAGAACACCAGAATGAAAGTCGGAGTGGGAGAGGGACAAGGAGAGGGAGAGAGACAGAACCAGAGAGAGAGAATGAAAGAGAATGGAGGGTGGTGGTAATATGTGTGGCAGTGCTTGTATGTGTGAGAGGGGACCCCTGAAGTTGGGGCAGGTTTAACTTGGGTTCTGCACATTGGCATGGTCAGACTACTGGGGTACATCTCCCTAGCCATGGATTGTGACATGGATTGTGACTGCCCCCTTGTGGTGAGAATGCTGCATGGCTCTGGGTTTCCTCTTACCCTAAAGATTTCTCTTGAGGAGGATGGAATTAACCACCTCTTCTAGCAGATCAGCCATGTAATGGTGTCCTGGGATAGAGGCCATGGACCTGTAGATACTGAGTCATATACTCAGATGTCCTTGCATCACACACACACACAAACACACACACACACCAGACCAGCAGCAGTCCACATCCTACTTTGTGTCCTGATTAGAGATTGGACTTGCAAAGCATATTTATTTATGCTGTTCCTGTTCTAAACTACTGACAGGTGATGTTTTAGTGTGTATGGAGAGCCGGGCATGCCTAGAAGGTTGCTCTTCCTGGTCATTGTCTTAGCCTGTTGGTATAACCTCAGTATTCTCATGTAATGTGCCTGTCTTAGATTTCTTTCCAGAAAGCATCAGGTTGAAATGACCTAGACAAGAGTGTGGGGCTGATTCACAAGGCTGGCAGACAATGGTGGGTGACAGGAATTAAAAGACAGGTCCATGAGCACACCTCACCACAGCTCATACTGGCCAAGAGGTGGCAGGGAATGTTCTATGACACCATTGCTAGGGTTTCTTTTCACATATTCTTAATGAGGAAGAAGGAGGCAGTGCTCCCGTCATACCAGTGACATTTCTGGTGCCACCCGGTGTTTTCCTGCAAGTCTTCCATGCTGCCATCCCCCTGCCCTCCCCCATGCTCCTCCACTTCCAAATGCCACGTCACAACAGCACTTGGATGTGTCTCTCTTAACTGTCACTGGAACGCTGGCAAGACCAACTTCTCGAAATACAGGAAGCATCCAGTGGAAAATATTTTAATAAAACATATTCCTCATAAAATATTGTTCTAGAAGGGAAGGGAAACAGCGCCACCAGCCTGTCAGCTTTGTGTTAGAAGAGTTGGGAAGGGGGGCCAGCAGGCAGGAACCAATGTCTAAAGGGTTTTTCAGGGGTGGTTTCACTGGCACACGTAGACTCAGAACCTGGCCCTGTCATCCACTCTGACTTTTCTTGGTTCTCGGTCTCTGCTGGAATGTAAGTTCACTGAGATCCTGGAGACTCTGGACTGTGGGGAAAGGGTGGCTCTCTCTTACTTCCTGCCCGGCCCTCACTTCAACGGCACATTCAATAGTTATCTCTGTTCAGCAAGAGGGAGCCGCTTAGGAGCTGAGCTCTCTGAGATCCAAGATCCAGCAGTAGCTGGCAGCTCTGAACTGAAGTTTGTTTCTTCCTTTCTACTGCCATGCCTCTCTGTCCATCGCTCTGTCTGTGCGTCCATGTGTGTCTGTCTGTCCATCGCTCTGTCTGTGCATCCATGTGCATTCATTCAGCAGCCATTTTTGAAAACGTAAGAGTTCCCATGGTGAGGTGACTCATCTATAGCCTTAACTCAAAATGAAATTTCCTTCCTGTGTTAAGGTTTTCTGGCCCCTTAATGCCATTTCTTAGCATTTGGATAAGCACCTCAGGAGACTCAGAGGGAAACTGTCCATGTTTTTCAGTCACTGATTAACATGAAGTTAAGGGCTGGGGAGATGACTTGGTCAGTATTAGGACCTGGGTTTGGATCCCCAGAAACCACATAGAAACTGGATGTGCTAGAGCATGTTCATGCCTGTAGCACTGGGAGGACAAAGCACACGGCCAACTGATCCAGCCACGTGGTGAGCCATGGGTTTAATGAGAGACCATCTCAGAATGATAAGGTGGACAGCCATGGGGAAGAACTCCGAGGTCAGCTTCTAGCTTTTGCTCATGTGTGCACATGGACACCACATAGACATACTCAGAAATGGAAAACAATATAAACAGTGCTCTTTTCCTCCAAGAAGCATTAGTCCCTCCTGTTACTGTAATTCTAAGAATCATTAACCCCTCTCCCATTGTGTTTTTTAGAAAGCATGAGCTCCTTCTATTATTCAAAACAAAAGAGGCCTCCTTTAGATTCTAGTCAGCAGAGCATTCGACTGGAGCCCAATATCTATCCCTGAGTCCTTGTGTGCTAGCACTTGCCCCTGGGGGGGAGGGGGGACACAACAGTTAGAGAGCGGCAGAGCCGGTTACATTTGCACACTGCTGCCCTCCTTAACACAGGACCTGTGCGTGCTCTTTATAGTCTGGTTTTGCCCAAAGATACAGCTTTGTGTCCCAAAATAACTTGCCCAGCTTGCCAGCCCTCTTCCCAGGTTCCCTGGAACCTGGGGTTGGGAAGTGGGTCCCCTCAGATCTACTGTCACAGAAGCGTCCTCCCAGGAGCCTGAGCATTTACACTTGGGGAAGGAGAAAGAAGCAACAGTGGCTGGATACCACACCCTTAGGATCATGGTGGGTAGGTAGTGCTGCTCCAGATTCCTGGTGGAGAAACTGAGCTCAGGTTCTGGCTTTAGAGTAAAGCCAGAATCCCAGGGCCATGACTGGTGGGATCAGCAGTCATGACAGAAGCTTCTCCACCATCCAGCCTTCCTATTCATAACCTGACTGTGCCTCAGCAGCTTCTCAACCTCTACAGTGAGTGCAGCGCAGTTAGCAGTGGCCCCGGTTTCCAGCCAGAGCATGCCTAGCTGTCAAGCTCCAAGGTATTTCCACCCAGCATGCCAGGTGCTGGGGAATTCCCATCCAACCTGCTTCTCAACCAAAGGCCATGGACAACTCTAGGGGCATTGTAATCAACATCATGCCCCCCCCCATAGGACCCCACACTGAGACTGAGCCAAGAATCCAATTACCACAGTGACCTCTAGGTGCCCCTAGGGTTCCCTATGAGGAGGTTACAGTGGAACCCGGCAGCAGCTCTCACTGAGTTGCAGACAGTCTATAGGGAAATCCCCATGTATGCCCTTGGTGCAGCATTAGGGCCGCCTCATGGGTGTACCTGAAGGGCTCTGTCCTGCCCTCCAAGCTCTCTGGACTAACTGTGTGTGGCTTGTCTCTGCATGCAGGTTTTGCTGGCCACAACCTATTACTTAAGTTCCCTTGTACTAAAGAAGAGCCAGATTCAGCCACCAGGGGACCATAAACCTGCTCACCTCTTCCACCAGATAAATGAAATCTATCTTTGTAAGAAATTTTGTCAGAATAATGCAGTAGCCTTAGAGACAGTTTAGAGGCCAGAAAAGAGAAGTTTGCTCTGAATCCCACTGCTTTGATTCAACTACACCTAAGTATTTGTGTTACACATAAGTATTGGTGATGCAGGACTTTAATCCCAGCACTCGGGAGGCAAAGACAGGCAGATCTCTGTGAGTTCAAGGCCAGCCCGGTCTACAGAGGCAGCCAGGGCTACACAGAGAAACCCTGTTTCAAAAAAACCAAAAAAAATCTGTGTAGAGTTCCCTCCAGGCTTTGTCTTAAGTTTTTAGAGTTCCTCAGTCTGTGATATCCAACTATATAGACTTGTCAGTTGTGTCTTGATAATGTCTATCATTTGTGACTACAGAATGTATGGGGGGGGTGTCTCACACCTGCCCCTATAATAAACCTTTAGATTTTGTTTCTAAGGTTTCATTCATATGAAAACGCTAGAGTAATACCCCTGCTCACTGACCTTTCTCTCATTTTGTATCACTAAAGCAATGGAACCAACACTGTCATTCGCTGAGAAACATATGCAACTTCCTTTACATGTGACATTTCACTGCATCCTCATGAGAAACTGGGAGGTGGTGATATAAACTTTGTCAAGAGTCTGACCCTTCCCTTGGTTATTCCGCTAGTTGGTGGCAGAGCTTGGCTTCAGCTTTGCCTAATGATGACCAAGCCAGTATAGCCGTCAGTGCCGTAGAAAGATATGTATGACTCAGTAAACAGGAACCACACTGCCTCATCCTTCTGCCAGAACTGCACCCCAGCTCCTGGGTGCAGTTGGAAAT